AAAATAATACTTCAACATAAAATGAATGACATGAGTTTGGGGTGTTACACCCATGTTGCTCAAAGCCGAGAGAATCACGTCGTTGGTAATATCTCCCTCTAGACGACTCATGTCGTTATCATCACACGGAGGGAAGAGGTTTGTGGGGGCATCGTGCAGCCCGCGGCGAGGCTCGGCTGTGTAAATACCCTCAAGAAAATCCGTAGCTAAGTTGCTTAGAGCCTCCTGATCTGTGATCACATTCTCCTCATTATTGGTTAACTTAGTGATATGGCCTCGTCGCCTTCGGTGTTTGATTTGGCGGTGAAAATATGCCGTATTTTGTCCCCTAGATAGGCCCAGTCCCGAGTCGCCTTTTTGCAGAAACAACAATTCTTCTTGGCGAATGACTTCCTCGAACTCCTCGCTAAGTTGCTTCTCGAGAGCAAATAAACATGCATGGGGCTGAAGACATCGCTGAATGCCCCCTAATCGGGCCAGTAGCTTCCTCTTTTTTCCAAAAATGTTCCCGAAGACGTTGAAATTCCAGTCTTTAGCCATGACCGTGAAATTCGCCGCTCCTTCTAAAAACTTTGGGGATAGCTGCCATGTATCTTTCAACAAGTCTTTAAAAGTTGGATGCAGAAGCCATGCCGCCCGAAAACAAAATGGTTTCACCCCTGTTGGTGATAGGTTTTGTTGACCAAACTCCAACATCGAGGGCGCGTGATCAGCAACATGGGCCGCCACCTTAGCTGTGCCCGAGGTCTCTTTTGGTCCAACCCTGCTCTCCAAACCGCTGGTAGTACCCGCTCTTGAATTCTCATTTTTTGGCCTTGTCGTGGTCAGTCCTTTTTCCGGGCGTTGTGCGCCAAACTCTCTCTCCCTTATCTCTCGCGCTCTTGTTGTGGTACACCATCTCCTCCTGATTATGTGCCGCAGACGAGGATCTAAACTCAAATACTTGATTTGATTCCCGCATATCCTCTTTGTTCAAGAGATTAAACCGAGATCCCATGGACTTTGGCGGATTGCTGGTCGAATGCGCCTTGTCCATCCCATGTTTGCGCTTGGAGTACGACTGACGTGTGCGTTGGGGGACCTGGATCTAAGGTCCATATATCTCTTCCCCGCCGCCGCATGGCGCCTTTTCTTTTGCGCCCGAGTAACCTACTCCACTCTTCGTAGTCTCTTCCGTCTGGGGTCCCTTAGAGGCATTTTGTTCAGTGGGGGTCGGTTGGTGGATGCAAGAGTTGCCGGAGTGGCCAATCCGTCCGCACCGAAAACAAATATCCAGTAGGCTCTCGTACACCACCCGCTGGGATTTTCTGTTGATGGTGAAGTTAACGCACAGAGATTTAGTGAGATTCACCATGACCGCTAGCCTCGCATATTTGCCTCGGGTTAGGGCTGTTGTTTGCTGATCAATCTTAATGACCTTGCCAACTATTCAGCCAAGTGTGCGAAATATCTTTTTGTGGTACAGGTGGGCTGGCATCCCGGGCAACCGGATCCATGCTACCGTCGCCGTTAGTTCCTCTTTTGTAGCATCAAAGTCAAGGGTCCATGGTTGCACATGCATATAGC